AAACGGTCAGTCTCTGCAGATGAAGCTTCACGTGCTCAGACTGCAGATGTGTCCCAGGATTGGCTGCTGATCCAAGAAGGGTGTCGTTCCTTCCCCACATCCCCACCTGGAATCTATTCCCGGCTGGCCCTATCACAGTGGGCAAGCACTTGACATCAATGCTTTTAGAGGATTAAAGACTGTTGTTGGGCACACAGTGTGTCAGACACACAATTCAGGAGTCCTGAGAGTGCTCTAGGACCATACCACATCCTGACAGTACTGGGGGTGGGGGGGCTGTTCTAGGAATACTTACCTAGCAAGGTGCAGCAAAGCACTGTGACCCATAGGTTGCAAGGCTTCCTGCCTGAATTCAAGATAGAAAATTGCAAACCTCGGAAAGATTAGGTAGGGATTTTGATAGTTATCATACACTGGGCAGACACACAGAAATAGGCAGGTGCAGTCAGAATAGTGAGTATAGTACCATTTTGTAGCATTTTTCATTTTGTAGGTTATTGTCATACTCATTGTGTTTAAACTAGTCTGTGAAATGGTAGAAAAAAAAACACATTTTACTTGGAAGAGAACAAAACACTAAGGCTGGACATTTTCTGGAACGTAGTTCTAATATTAAGGCAGCATTTACTGATGGAGTGAAAGGCTGAGTTCCTGAAGGAGTCAGGTATGTTTCATCTACTGTTATAGCTAAGTCTAGCCATAATAAGTCTACAAATGTGAGTCTAATAGAGAAGTCTAGTGATAAATTTAGGAATGTGTATTCTAGGGAATCTCCCACTTTTATAATATTGTGAATGTAGTGATAAGAAACACTACCAAGGGCTGGAGAGATGGTTCAGCAGTTAAGAGCTCTGGCTGCTCTTGCAGAGGATCAGGGTTCAAGTCCCTGCACCCACATGGCAGCTAACAACTGTCTGTAACTTCAGTTCCAAGGGATCTTTTGGCCTCCGTGCTTGACGGGTGCACTTACATACATGTAGGCAAAACACTCATACATATAAAATAAAAAAAAAATCCAAAAAATTTAAAATAAGACTACCAAGATTATTGACGTCATGAAGTTTAAGCTCTAGAAAAGGAAGACAGAGAATAAATAGGTAAACATTATATAAAGAAGGGTTTGTTTGTTTTTTGAGACAAAGTCTCCCTGTAGCCCAGCTGGCCTAGGATTTGCTATGTAGACCAGGCTGCCTCCACCTCCTGAGTGCTGGGATTAAAGACATGTGCCACCATGTCTGACTCAAAGAGGATTTTTTTTTTACCTAACTATATATGACCTCATTTTTTAATGTATTTGAAAATTTCGTATATGTATTAAATGTATCTTGATCATATCCACTTCCCACTCCCTCTTTCCAATTTCCCCGTCTTCTCTCCCAACATATCTCCCTCCCTCCCAACTTCATATCCTCTTTTTTTTTAATCCAAAGAAGGAATTTTGCATAATGATATGTGCAGCAAAGAAGTCTGTGAAAGTGAGAGATTAGAGGATGGGTTACTGTAGACTGCTTGGTTAGGCCAACAGTAAAGAGTTGGCATGTAATGAAAATATTCAGGATCAGAGCATTGCAGATAAAGGCAAGTCTCATTGAAAAAGCTGAGGAGTAGAAAAGATTTTAATTTTTAAAAGAGGTTTGAACTCCTGTAGCTGGAATGTAGAGAAAGCAACACAATATGAACGTGGCGAGACGTAAGGGCTACATCATACAGGGATCTGAGTAAAGTATTTACTCGTGGCAGGTTTTGCATTTACTCGAAGTGTGATCAGAAGTCGCCATGAGCTTTGTGAGAGGGAGTACATTGTGCAAAATCTTATTCTGCAGTGAATGGATCACAGGGACGGGGAACAATATCTGCAGCAGAAGGCAGCTGCCCAAACCAAGGACGCAGGGATAAATGTGTGGAATAAAGGGCAGAAAAGTCATATGTATGAGCTGCATTTTGCAAGCAAAGCGCCCAGCTTTTAATGTTTTGAATAAAGAGGTGAGGAAATTGGAGGCATTACTCCTAGCTCTGAGATTTTTGTTTTGAGATTGAGTAGATGGTCGTACTGTTTACTACATGCAAATACCATGGAAGATAAAAAGGAAGGGAGCTTTATTTTTGCCTGCCTCAATGTTTTTATGCTTATTAGAAGATTAAGGAAATTCTGAGTCTTGAGTTCTCTGGGGAGGGGAAGGGACCAGAGATTCAAAGTTGAAAATAACTAGCATGTAGGAAAAGCAAACGACAACAACAAAAGCTACCTAGAAGAGTGCGCATAGAGAACATTCCCATAATTATTGGGAAAAAAGTAAGCAAAGCAGACAGGGGGTGTAGCACAGCTGCCTAGCATTCCCAAGATACTGGGTGCATTCCCCAGTACTTCAAAAATAGAGGTTAAGAAACAAAGAAGTAAAACTGATGCACTAGTCAGTGGCATGGGAAGACGGCATAAAGAACATGGTGATGTGAAAGCCAAGAACACAAAACTGGCCGATGATTCTGAATCATGCTAAGAAGTCAAGTAAAATAAGGATTTATTTGACTTGGACTGAAATTTGGACCATACGCTTGTTCATACTTTGGCAAGTAAAACAAAGAGGAAAAGTAAAGACATGGATCAAAGCACAATATGGGGCATGGACCTGAGGCACGAGAAGGTTGGATGCTAGGCCAGCCAGGCAGGGCTACATAAGGAGACTGTCTCAAAAAAGGGGAGAGACAGAGAGAGAGAGAGAGAGAGAGAGAGAGAGAGAGAGAGAGAAATGATATAGTATCATGGATGTCTCAGGATATGTTCCTAGAGAGAACTGAGAAATGAAGCTAAGGAGATTATGGGTTTGTAAAGATTCAGGATACAGAAGCATCATCACCATCATTGTTTTATCATCACTGTCATTGTTATTTTGGACTACTGTGAATGCTCTAATAGAAAGGGTGAAAAAAGAACAGTGTAAGAAAGACTGTCTACTGCAGGAGTATAGTGTTCGAGAAAGGAGAGGATGAGATCCCGGGAACGCATCCCAGTGTTGCCTTTGGTCAGAAAGAACAGGAGCATGCAATTTATAGCAGGAAGAAGGGCAGTGGAAACCTTTCACTGGCCTTGTGTGAGACTTAGCTTAGGATCTGAGGTAAGGGGACCTGGCTTTTCATTATATGCTTCTGAATTTTTTTCACTTATTTGCATCTTTCAATTTCAAAACTGATAAAAAATAAAGGCAAATGTCTATTTACATGCCTTAATTTGGAAAGTCAATTAATAAATGTCCTTATATTAAAAATGTTAATTTAAAATGTGACTGACTTCTTAATAAGCTTAGTAATGTGCTAATCAGTAAGCAATATAAGCCCTGTGCTGTTCTCATTTTCATAGTTTTAAGAACTTGCTGACAAAGCCGGGCATGGTGGTGCACACCTTTAATTCCAGCATTCAGAGGCTAAGGCAGGTAGATATCTGTGAAATCAAGTCCAGCCTGGTCTACATAGTTAGCTGCAGGCCAGGCCAGTTGGGAGACCCTACCTCAAAAAGACCAAAAAAAAAAATTGCTAACAGATTAAAATGTAGAATTTTTGGTATTCATTAACCTCAAATCATCATCATTTGGTCTAACAATCTGTGAAGAATTACTACTACCTACATATGATAATCTTTTTAGTCTCAAGAGATAGTTCAGCAGTTAAAAGCACTGGCTGCTCTTGCAGAGGACCAGGGTTCGAGTCTCAGCACCCACATGATGGCTAACAACTGACCGTAACTCAAGTTCCAGGGGATCCAATACCCTCTTCTGACCTCCTTGGGTATTGCATGACACAGGTGCACTTAAACACGTGCAGACAATACAGTCATACACATAAGATAAAAATAATACAGTTCTCAAATACAAAGAAGACCTTCAAGAAACTCATGTAGATGGAAGATAATATATAAACACAAGAAGTAGATGGAGATGTGTTCAAGCATCACTTTCAAATAAAACCTGGTTTTAGTCACAGAATGTATGCAAATATATTTGTTTACTGAGACCAAAAACAGTGTATCTATCTATTTGTCTATCTATCATCTGACTGTCTGTCTATCATCTATTTATCATCTATCTATCATCTATCTACCTGTCATCTATCATCTATCATCTCTCTTTCTATCTACTTTGTATATCTATTCTTCTTTGTATTCAAGGACACCCAACATTTACTGATTTGATAGTTCCTCACAATATACAAATAAATTAATGCTTAATATAAAGATAACAAAGAGGGGTGCTGGAGAGAGATGGCTCAGTGGTTAAGAGCACTGACTGCTCTTGCAGAGGACCTGAATTCAGTTCCCAGTACCCAGTAACCAACAATCATCTGTAACTCCATTTTCACGGGGTCAAACACCCTCTTCTGGCCTCCATGGGCATTGCATGACACTAGTGCATTTATATACATGAAGGCAAAACAGTCATAAGCATAAAATAAAATAATTCAATAAGCAAAATTGTTAATGGAAAAAAAGTAATAATAAAATTAAAAAATAAAAGATAGACTTAATGGATATGTGCTTCCTCTAACAGAAAATTCAAGAGCTGGAAACTTCCCTACAAGAAGCTAAAGAAAATGCTACATATAAGGAAGACAAGATCGTCAAGATGCAGAAAGAACTAGATGTGAGTAAGGACGTGATAGCAGAACTTCAGACCAAAGTTAGGGAGTCAAACACATCCCTTGAAAAAGCAAAAGAATCAGTCCAGGTACTTCAGGTAAGTTAAGCCCATTCCAGAAACGATTTGGTGGTCTGTTCTCCCTTCTTATTGCAGCTTCTTACCACCTATGTGTATATCCATTTTTCAAGCTCAAAAAAAAATTAAGTAAAGAGACAAGAATACAACAGTGTATTTACATGTAAAATACTATTTTTATGCTGGAATACAGAATTTCGAGACAGAGGGAGTAAGCAACACATTTTGTCAATACTCAGTTTAAACTGTCTGTCACAGGTGTCTAGGGGTGCTGCAAACCAGAAGGAACCCTTGACAACATAATGGGATGTGGTTGGTTTGCCATCCTTGAAGAAAGAAGTCACAAGAGAGGGTAGCCATAAATCTCTTCCTAGTTTGATTTTTATTTTTATTTAATTAAATTAATTATTTTTGGTCTTTTTGTGACAGGGTCGCCCTGTAGCCCCAGCTGGCCTGGCATTCTTGCTATGTAGATCAGGCTGGCTTCAAACTCACAGAGACCCACCTGCCTCTGCTTCCCTAGTGCTGGGATTAAAGGTGTGAGCCACCACACCAGGTGATTTTTAATAATCATTTCTCTGGATCATATTTTAAACTTTGCAGTACTCGAAAGAGTTTATTTCAAAATTTATTCTCAATGATATTATTACCCTCTGCATATAGCTATTTAATATAGCAAAGCATTTATTAACTGAGAACAAAAGTAGTTTGAACAAATTAAACATTCACAATTGTGTTAAAATCTTGATAAATTTCTTCTTGTAACATTACAAACTGTCAATCAGTGAATTTGCTTGAAATTTGAACTGTATTAGACCTTTATAAACATTCTATAGTTTTTTTTAAAGATCATCTTTTTAAAAATTTCATTTTGGGGGGCTGGAAAGATGGCTCAGCAGTTAAGAGCATGGACTGCTCTTGCAGAGGACCCAGGTTCAATTCCCAGCACCCACATGGCAGCTAACAACTGTCCGTAACTCCAGTTCCAGGGGATCAGACACCCTCTTCTGACCTCGCGGGCACTGCACGACACGGTGCACTTACATACGTGCAGGCAATACACTCATACACATAAAATAATAAATTTTTTAAATTTAATTTATTTACTTGTTTTTATACTATGTGTCGGCTGCCTGCATGTGTGTAAGAGCACCCATTTGTGCAATGCCTGTGGAGGCCAGAAGAGGGTGTCGGATCCCCTGGGACTGGAGTTACAGATGCTTGTTAGCTGCTACATGGTGCTGGGAATTGAACTAGGTCTTCCGCAAGAGCAGCCAGTGCTCTTAACGGCTAAGCCATCTCTCCAGCCCTTCAAAGATCATATTTTAGTAACCAAAACAATCTGCATGACATGAAGGTGGAAGTGAAGCTCTCCGGGAACAAAGGAGACTGCTTAGGGGATTACCCTCAAAGTACTATATATATATATATAATTTTTTTAATTGAAAATTTTAAAAATACTTGAACTTTAACAACAGAAAAAATGAGAACATGTAAAAAGAATGAGAAAAGTATGAAAAGCAAAGTGGGAGAAAACTGGGATTTAAAAGAAGAGTCATAGCCCGGCGTGATGCCTTTGATCCCAGCACTCAGGAGGCAGAGGCAGGCAGATCTCTGTGAGTTCAAGGCCAGCCTGGTCTACAAAGTGAGTTTCAGGACAACCGGGGCTATAGGGAGACTCTGTCTCAAAAAGACCCCTACTGCACACAACACAAAACAACAACAAAACACACACACACACACACACACACACACACACACGAGTCATGCTGTTTCATAGGTGAGAACCTAAACACAGCCGTGGAGACGAGATGTTCCCATTTAATTTCTATATTCAATATAATTCAAATCAGAAACTCAAAGAACTATCTTTTTCTGGTAGAGAAAGAATAGTTAATAGAATCTATCTAAACTACAGCTGCTAAACAATTCTTACTATATTTTCAGTTTTTTAGGTCATTAATAGCACTTGAAGCTGTCAGTCTCTCTACAAGCACATCTTTGCCCACACGTGTCGTGTCCAATATGCAGACTTCTCATTCTAATTCATTTCTAAGTAAGGTTTTTTTCAGTTTTGACTTCTCTGAGACTTAGATAGTATGTTATATGACTAATTTCTTTCATTTACACCATAGTAAAAAAAAAAACAACCTATGTAATTTATACACTTTTAGCATATATTGAAAATTTGGGTTTTTTTTTTTTTTTTAGCTTTGTTTAGATTTTTAAAGCAATATATAGGCAACACTGGGACGGAACAGAGAGCTCAGTGCAGACACACTCAATGAAGCCATGTGATCTCTGACAAGAAGACAAAGGAAAAAGGATAATCCCATCAACTATGGATGCTAGACACTAGACACCCACAAGCCATAAGCCAGCGGTGATGGTACACACATGCAGTCCCAGTTACTTAGGAGACTGAGGTGGGAGAGCAGCCTGCTTTCACAAGCTCAGGACTTGCCTGGCCAACATAGCAAGTACTCATCTTAAAAGACAAAACAGGCAACCATGCACAGTGTCACACTCCTTGATTCCAGCACTCAGGAAGCAAAGGTAGGCAAATATCTGTGAGATCGAGGCCAGCCTGGTCTACATAGCGAGGTCCAGGCCAACTAGGACTGCAGAGAGACCCTGTCTCAAAAACAAACAAAACAAAACAACCCAAAATAAATCATAAACATGAAAGTAAAACAATAATGAAGATAAATAGGAAAAAACCCAAGTACACTTTGGTTTGCCAATGACTTTTAAGATATACAAAACTCAAAGTACAATCCATAAAATTAAAAGTAAATAAACTGTATTTTATTACTATTCAGAACTTTTGCTCTCAAAGGAGTAAAAGGACAA